AACGGGTATTACATGGGAATTTGCATGAAATTCCCAAAGTAAAAAGCCAGCATCGGGTATTACGTGGGAAAGTATATGCCAAGATTGGGAATTAGTTAGGATTTTGATACAGGAAAAAGTACAAATTCCCAAAATTGGGAATAATAAAGAAACTCCCAATGTAAAACCCAATATTGGTTATTACATGAAAAGCAGTGTACCAATCTTGAGAATTTAGTGGGACTTTTAAGACTATTTCCAAACTGAAACCCCAATCCTAGGTATTACACAAGAATTTCAATAAATTTCCCATTGTTAAAACCCAACATTGGGAATAGTGTTGCAGACTTTGGTAAATTGGTGGAAACTTCTGCCCAAAAGATCAATTTCAAATTGGGAACTTTGCAAGAGGTAAAAAAGGAAGAGTTTATTTCAAAATTCCAAAACTGGCAATTTCTCAAACTTGTAAAAAAGCAACTTTGCTAAAATGATATTGTTTTGGAAAAAATATGGGTGAAGCATTAGGTTTCGAGACAACTTCCCCAAATGTTATTATAGGTTGTTGGACTGCTTCTATTTTATTACACTTTACTCCAACAATAAAAAGCAATAGTGGAGAAGGGGACATCCAAAGCACCTGAGCACCATACTAGAGATACTCCCAGTGAGTTCAGTATCATTCAATGTTAAAATGCACAATTTCTATACTTTCCTCTAAGAGGATTATGTCCAACAGCTGGGAATTGCATCAGTACGTGTACTGAAATGCATGGCAATTACAATGTGTTTGCATGTTTGGAACTTGACTTGACTTGACTATGACATAAAAATCAAGAGAGTTCCAAATTATAACATTGTTTGAAATTTAAAACCCTGAAAAATGATATGTTGACTTTGAATTATTGAAGAATGTCTTGGGCATATCAAAATCATGGTCAAGTCATTTGCCAATACATTTTTTGCTGTGTAAACTGTAAAACGTACGTACCCAGATCTGCATTCTTATCATCAGTTATTAAAAGTTAATACCTGTACCAAGATGATGACTGATTGCCTGAACATGAATCCTTCAAAGAAACAGCAGCAATGTCCCTTAGAGTTCTTTAAACATTCGTCCATTACTCTGCCAATTTCCTGCAGATCTGCCAAGTATACTTTTGAAGTGTACTTTCTGAGGGCATGTACCTTCACGAACCCAGAGACCTGATTGCCTACCCCAACGAGGATGGGGTATATAAAACTGCACCTGGACAGTTTGAGTCCTTTCCTGAACTGCTAACACCACTGCTCTCCATGGGTCTGGGTCATCACCCTTTGTGAGTAACATATCACCCACTTCAGGATAACAGGGAACAATAACACTGGAGAGTGGAAAGCACTGTCTCTGAAAGTCGATTCAAATGTAAATGCTTGGATCATTAAGATTTTCTGGATCTGGAAAAAGCATAACCTTCCGCTGGATTTTAGAAGAATGGACAATCTTTCCAGTACTTGATGGCCTTACTAAGGCTCCCTTGCTCCATTGGTGGAGTTGCTTTTCAGAGTTATAGATCACTTCCTGGAAGCAATCTCCAACAACAAATAAATGATATTCATGGCTTACGTTTGTCCTTAGCAGCTGAGTAATAGTTAAAACACATTCATCGCCATCTTCAGCAGAAACAATTATGTTTTCACCTACTCTATAAAGCATTCCTTTGTTGCCATAAACACTGGTGAAATAGATACTACGACATTCTTGTGTCACATCACTAAGGCTTTCACCTGTTATACCTTGATCCTAGCCAAATTGAGCAAGGATGGAATTCCTTTGCACTTCTTCAAACAAATGAACAGGTTTTGATGCTCCAACTAGTATACTGTTAATTTTGGCCAGGTGATTTGCTTCATCACTGAAATGCTGTTTGGCATTTTCCAATTTAGCTAGAGATCCATAGTGTGCCTCCTTTGGATAAGAAACAGTTTCTGCAAAAGAGTTTCCTTGTGCTTTCAAGGAAGAACGCACCTTAAGAACTTCTTTGCGCAACTCTGCCCTCGCAAAAGTTATTTCAATATTTTTGAAGTTGGTTGATATTGCAATATAGCGACCAACTGCACACTCAAAGTTGTAGCACCAAAAGTTATCTGGAGGACCAAAGTTTATCACATCCTCTTTAATGTGTGTCAGGTTATGATTGACAGCATGACAGTAAGTTAATCCCTGGCTTTCTTCAAGTAGAATATTATATCTTAAAACAGTTTCGTGAAAAATTGCTGTGGAGTCAATGGTCCACCCATTTCTTCCCTGACAATACAGATACTCATCAATTCTTGCCAAACATTCCCAGGTTTCAAAATGTTTTTCCGAAACAAGGCCTCCCAAAACTACTTCCGAGATGGGGAATGCAAACTTTTGAAAGTCTTCAGCTTTCCAGTACCCTATTCTTGAAAGCCTGCTCGGATATCGAGAAGAAAGAAATTCTGCAGTCCAGGGCACTTTAAATAGTCTTTCTTGAAGTACTTTCTGATCCAAAAGTTGATTAGATAGAAGGAAATTAAGGTCATTTCTTACAACTCCAAGAGCAACCGTGTGCATAACATCAAAAACACAGTGTTTGCGGTAATCAAAACCATATAATGCATGGAGACGATGAAGCACAGACAAACCAGTGAATCCTGATTCTTTTGCCATTTCCTGAGCTACAGTTCTTCTTTCTTCCTGTTCAATTAATTGCAATGCTTCAAGTTCATCATGAATGTTTCTTTTTGGCCATGGATACCTTGTCGATTTTCGGTAATTTCCATAGTAATAGTGATTACTACCAGGGTCCAAGATACTTCCACATTTGCAGCGTTGACAAGGGTTTTTTCCACAGAAAATTCCCTTACAAACCTCACAAATAGCAACACGGTCCCCAGTAACACACAAAATAAGATGCCTTAATTTTGTAGGCCCAGAAGGGAAGTTAGGCAATGTAAAGCTAAAATTATCAACTGCGATGCCATTGATAAATCCATCTTCAATCCCATCAAGAAGAGGTGACAAAAATGGATCCAGAGATATCAGCCTTCTTTCTGGCAGCAAATACGCAGGCACAAAACCGACAATAAATATCTCAGATTGTTTTTGTCTGTCTTCCTTGGACATATTAGCTATCTGAACTTCAATAGCTCCAGAGCCATGATTGTATTTACCATCAAATGGCTGAAATCCATCCCAATGAAGAATGTACGCTAAGTTTCTTGGATCTCCAGTTGCTTTCTGGATAACATAGGGGAAGTGACTGCACAGGATAAACAGGTTACCAGCTTTTGTCCATCATTTCCATCAGGAGAAGAATTGATATCTTGGACTGAGACAACCCCACCACAATTATCACATTTGGCAGGTAATTGCCACTCTTCCTCAGGATTCCAAAACCACTGAAGCTCTGAGAAACGTCTTCCATCCCATATCTCACTTTTGCATGTGAAACCCCAACCATCTTGATTTTCTTGTCCAAGCCATTGATCCTTTTCAAACCAGTGCGACAGCATTTTTTTGCAAAACAAAGGATCACTTGCCCAGAGGTTAATCTTAGGACCTAAGCCAAGATATTAGTAAGGAATAGTTCCCTTTTTGTTACAGTGAGGACATAAATCATCTTCTGATGACATTAAACCAAAGTGACATCTGTGGCTCTCATCAAGGCAAATTATGTACTTTTTAGCATCCCTATAGCTGACAGAATGCAAAAGTACCTCTGCATCTTTCCAACATTTTGGCCACAAATGTTGATACTGCTCACTAAATCCCATCATGAATAGTTTCTTTCCCCAGTCCAAGATATGATCAAATCCAATGTTTGACAATGTTAGTTCAAGCTGCAATTATAGAGCATCAAGAATTACCTCTATTATTTGCTCAGTTATTGTTCTGGTTGGGTCTACATCACCTGCATGAACTTGTAATTCATTCGATTCGTTTTCTTCAGGAGTACCAGAATCGAGACTATCCACGAATGTGTCTGAGTAATCAAACATCTCTTGATCTTGGTCCACGGCTTGTAAAACTTCACTAGATGATGACTCCTCAAGGCCTTCTATTTCCTCTTCGTGCAAGCCTAAATTTCCAGTTACCCTTGAACTTCTATGTTCACGCTTACGATGTCTGAATGCGGTCGCTCTTAAGACAGGCATGCCGTTGCAATCGTTGCAAGCACAATGAACATGCTCTGACTGGGAATCCTCGCAGATACAAATACAAATTTCCCAGGTTGTATCCACGCAAAACGCCATAATTTGTCAAATCTCGAGTTTTCCTTGATTGCCTCTTAAGTTAAAAGATGGTTTCCCTTGCCTTTCGAATGATGCATGAGGAACATTTCGAATTATGCACAGAACTTTTTCCTGTAACGCTCGATCTTGCGCGGTCATCCGCCATGTTGAAATTGAGCCGACGGTGAAAATATCAGCGGAGATATAATGTAGCGTCCACTCATAGCTACTTGATACTGTACTTTAATCAGTTGTTCACTTGCTAGTTCGTTTCTAATCTGCACATAACTTGTATTCATTCCATTCACAAATTGCACGTGAAAGAGAAAGATTCGCTGAAATAACAACAACGCGGCAAAGATGATATTGACCGAATAACCGAAATACTGCATACTTACAAGTTATTGTGCCTTCTAAATAGAAAGGAAAACTTGTCCTAACGAAACGACAGTATAACTCCATAACAAAACATGTGCTTTTTCGTGGGAAAGAGCGCCCGCGATATTTTGCGTGCGGTCACCGAAGACCATGCCATATAACGTTTATTTTCTGTCTCTTACATGTAAATTACCGAAAACGTGACTAAACGCCACCAATGAGAAACGTCCAAAGAACAGAGGCGGGAAAATTAGCCACTCAAGAGAGGTAATATATTACAAAAAACATTCTCGCGAGCTTGTTTTAACATTCAGTTAAAGGAAATGGTGGGCGAACACAGTGAGAGTCGTTCTCGTGCTTTTCTAACACCAAGACTTTCCTCTTCCGACGATTGTTTCTCATCCCAAATGGACAGCCCTGAAAGTGGAGACACTGATGATGTATCAAGTGAAAACGACAGCCTACGAACATATTCACAGAAACAAAAAGTTAGACCAAAACAGCTTCCCTTTCCCGCCAGTTTGCTGGAAGGAAAAAGTGATGATGTTATTGTTTCAGATATAAATGTCTCTGGTAAGTTGTCGTTTAGTTTTCAATTTCGGAATTAATGCGAAATGATTCTCTTCTGTAATTCCCGATTTACAGTGGTGTTTTTTCAAAACTTCAGAGTGGACGTGCGAGGAAGTCAAGGGGTGGGTCATGAGCATCTTCAACGATGAGAGCATTGCGAAGAGATTTGTGGAAGAGGAAATAACCGGAACTACTTTACTCTCCCAACGCATTCTAAACGACAACTCGATGGAAAGGCTTGGCCTTAACACGATTGGGAAGAAAGAAAAATTTTCTTCATCAGTTAAGAAACTAGGTTAGTAGAATTGAGCTTAAATATTTTAGATTAAGCTTACTGTGAGGCAGACAAGGGGGGAAAATGGTTTCTGTGAAACATTTATAATCCGTAAGCTTCTTTAGCGAAAAATTTAGCATTTGATCACAAAGGATTAACTGGGAGAAATGCTTTCTTTTCAGTTTCAAATACATCTGTCGGTGAAGTTCTCGCGGGCTTCATGGTGTCACGTGGCTTTTCCCGCTCTGAAAGTGATTATTACTGGGATACCTATGGTAGCCCAGTCATAAAATGCCTTTGTTTTTTTGTCGTCTTTTTTTTTTTTTTTTCCTCCGCCACAAAATGGAAAAATTGCGCAATAGTACCCAGAGGTCATTGGGCCCTCAACACCATGACAGGTAACTGTGATCCAATGAGGTGTTCACATGCTGATCACGCGTGTTATCCCTCAACACCATGACAACTAACTGTGATCCAATGAGGTGTTCACATGCTGATCACGCGTGTTATCTTGACAATGATTGACGTTGTCATGCACAGACAGGGCCGGGTCACATGACGAACACGAGATCTTGCTTATAAATTTCAACGTATTTGGATTGCGATCTCCTGGAGCATTATAGCGCAAACGCGCAAAATACTTACAGATGCATATACAAGTCGTATTAATCGCGGCTAATCCACACTGAAAGATGTTATTGGAACGAATTGAGTCGCGAACGCTTTAAAGCCATGAAAGCCTTGAATACCTTGTATGCTAAGTATGCCAATGTCTTAGTTGAAAAACGTTCACTTGTTGTCAAAAGCAAAATCTGAAATCTGAAACCAAACTGCATATACTCTATGCAATCTATTGAACAACGTTACTACCGTGAGACTGAAGAAAATAACTATAATGGATGCAAACTGCTTGTGAAGAAAGACGAAATGTTGGATTCACTTGATGGCAAGGAACGTAGCTACGATAACAGTACTAATGATATTAATTTCACGATCAGAAAGGTGAATCTTATGTTTGTTTTCATTGTAGTTGTAGGGATATTCTTTTTTAATAAATACGTGATCCAAAACCCTGTGTTTTTGTCTTGTCACTGGCGACCCAAGCTCACGTCTCGAGAAAAAGCCAACGATTAATTCATGAACGCGTCACGCGTTGTGTGACTCGGTGTTAAGTTACGAGAGGAACTGCACGTTATAAGGAACAATACAGGGAACGAAGTATGGTCGATTTACAACGATACATAATTCGAAATATGAACATTTTTCTTGTAAAATCAATAAAACTTACTCATACCCTGTGTATCCGTTGTATTTTCTGGCGATTTCTGCCGTTTTAAGCTTGCTTTACCATCACTGTTATTCACGTCATCTACTTTTATTACGTTGGTAAAATCTGTACAGACATCACAGCAACCAACTCGCACGCAAAATAAGAACACTATATTGAAGGCTTGAAATAATTTTGCGATCGATTTTCATCCAGAAATGGGCCAGGAATATTCCACAATAGTGCAAATAATCGTGAAGGTTGATTGCAGAAAAGCGATTGCGTGACGCTCGGTAAGCCGTAAGATGACATGTTATTATATACCAGACGTAAAAACTCTTCAGATTCTTAGTCTGCACTTTGTACCCACTCTGCAGTCTGCAGTCTATATTTTGTATCCGGTCTGCAGTCTGCTGTCTGCATTTTGTACTAACAGGTATCCGTGGCACCATTACAGTTAATTTTTGGTTACATTTATTCGCAAAACACACATAATCTACCACAAAATACTTGTGTGTGAGGTAATTCGACATTTTCGTTCTTTCCCACATTAATATTCTTCTCTACTTTTGTAAGAATGTAGACATCACTCACAATGTTTCAAGTAATCCACCCACCCTACAAAAAAGTAACTCTTGCATGCATAGCATGCCTATGTTTTGAAATAGGTCCATGCCCTTGGCCAGACTTGAGCGCACTATTTCAGTATACTAGTCCGACACCCGTTGTATCACTACACTTGATTCCAAGGATCCAGTACCATCCAGGTATCCCAGTTACCCTGCTTACAGGGTCTAGTTCCAGGGTAATTTTAAAACGTTTTCTTTATTTTTCTCATGGCATGGGCTTCTACCAGTAACTGAATTCCATGCTTGTATTGTATATAGCTTGCATTGTCGATGTCCTCACATGGTTCTCTCCTTTCTCTTTTTTTTTCTTTTTTCTTTTTTCTTTTTTACTAGTCACTAAAAGAGGATCTGTAAATGCTTGTACTTCTGTGTCGGGTAAACAGCTGGATGGCAGACAAAAAGGTAAACTAACCCTTCCAGATATCAGATCTCTTGATCCTGCTACAAAGTCAATTTACCTAACAGTGTAAGCATGATGTAACTACAGTATCACTGTCATAGAAAATGAATGTTTTCAGTGAAACATGAAGAAAAAATATTTTGCAAGGCCTTTAGTCTCCGACTGTAAGGATCATAACAACAAGCATTTGCTTAGTGTTGAGTCAAATCACACCAATAGATATTCAATATCTGGTCATTTGCACATGGAAATCATGGTACTTGAAGCTTGTATGTGGTGGTATTTTTAAGATTATTTATCTTCTTGCTCTTTCTAGGGTATTTTGACAGTGCTAAATATCATCCAATACTCCTTGCCTCAAGAATTAATACTGCTGCATTTATTACTGTTTTAAAGCTACATCCTACTAACTTCTTTTTTTTTTATTCATTAGATGAACACGCATCCGTAGGGCCACAGAAAATGAGTTTCCTGGTAACAGTATTCCAACATTTAGAAGCAATCCAGAGGCAAGAAAACGACTAGACAAGTTTGTGAAGCAACTGGCCAATTCATGCTCAATTGAAGAAGTTAACTTTGGAGAAGGTACACTGTAGCTACATGTAGACAAGTTGTTTTCGCTTCTAACAAATTTATTTTTATAATGTTTCAAACTTCCATCATGTGTTTAATTGCAGAGGGTATCTGGTCACATACAATGTCAGTGCTCAATGAAAGAAGGAGGATGGTCACCCTCGGATACAATTATGAGGAAGTATGTTTAAACAAAGGACCCCTCTCCATATTAACTTATTTAGAAAAGAGGAAGCTACCCTCAACAGCAATCATTTTTTTGTGTGTTTATGTGCAGAGTTGTTCTCTCACATGTAATTTATTGAACACATCTATTTAGGATAAAAGGAAGTCAAGCGACAGTACAAGTGAAGGTGAAGGAAGCCCACCGTGCTCACAGATGAAAAGGCACAAAAGTGATCACAAGTCAGATAATCAGAGTGACACTGAAGATTCCAGGTCAAGCAATGCTGACGATAACTCTGAAGAAGGATCAGGCACAAATGGTAATCGTCAATTATAAATTTAAAGGGTAATGTGTAGTTCCATAAAATATTCATACCTACCCCACAAAAGGGATTCTTTTACAAGAACCCCCACCCCTCTGGAAAGTCCAATTAAACTTGATACATTTCTTTAAATTTTTTGGACTTTGAGAACCCCACCCCACCCCCTCCCCCACCCCTCCCAGGAATTTCCAATCCCTTCTGTAGGGGGAGTATGAAGATTTTCTGGAACTACACAATGACATAATTTTTGTTTTATTTCTTTTGATAAGTTTAATTTTTCTATAGCAAGAGATTAAGTTCCAGTCGTTTCTTGCATTGTTGTTTTCAGTGGATCAGAGTTCGTGCAATAAACTCTCAGTTAAAAGTGCTGAAGTCATCACAATGGCAGTATTTAAAGAAACAAAAATGAAAGATGTAAAACTAAACACGCAGATCCTACCAGCTTGCAGATATCTTAAAGTTGCTGGGGTCAGAGGGAAATCTAAGCCATCAGTAACAAAGCTTCTTGCTCAAGCATTTATTGACAAGGAATATGTAGTTGTTAATGAGTTAGAAAATTGTAACTTGGCCAATTTGACATTCAGTGATGTAACCGTGTCTTCTGATAAGGACATTGTATCAGATATAGAAGAGTGGCTGAAATAGGACTTTTCTTTTTAGTTCTTATTTGGACTACCAAGGAACAGTTAAGCCAAGGAAAACTAGGAGGAAGAAGAGGAAGTAGTGCATGTACGATTATCTCTATATTTCTTGCTGAATTGGCATCAAAATCTTGTAAGCTGTTACTGCTACATCATGGAAGGCTTTGTAATAAGTGGCATTCTGCTGTAGCATAAGCGATTTCTGAAGGGAATAGTATATATGATAGATATGTTGATAAACCGGGCATACTTCTTGATGTTCATGATGTGTGGGAAATATATGAAACAAGCCTAGAGAAACATATGCACATTTCAGAAACGAAACCTGTTTGGTTATCGCCTTCAACTGATCCTTTTTCGTGCACTTTGGGTTTTAATCTTACTCAGTTTTCCCTGCAAAGAGGGCAACATTTTGCTGTTTTTATTTGCCATAAAAAGTCAGTCTTAATTGTAAGTGATGGCACTGGTAAAGTCTTGGTTATAGATACCCATTTCCATGCTGATACAAACAGTGGAACATATTTTATTTACGGGAAAGCAGATGAGGTTGCATTGTATTTCACCAAAAATTACCCAGGGAAAACAGTTGGTACTCTAACAGAAGTTTCATTTGTAGTTCTTGTAGACTGAAATTACTTGTGCATGCACCATTGATATAGTTTTCACAGGTTATTGGGCTTAAAATAGAAAAACAGCTGTCTGGCATTTTCCCTTGTCGTTTTGTTTATGGAAGATGGAAAAAATCACCCACCAGTTATATTTTGAAACACTGCCGAAGAATGAATCCATATTTATGGCAAGGAGAAAAGAAAAAAAATCAAAGATCAGTTTAATTTGATGCTTCAGAGTTACTTTACTTGTCATAGCTCTGAAATTTTGTCTGCATTTTGGCTCAGTCATTGGCAGCCTACTATTTTGAGCCCAGCTGTTTGTTGTTTAAGTTGAAT